GGGGGGGCGCGGGGCGGGGCCGTGGGCCTGCCTGCGCCGAGCCTCTCCGCTCCCCCCAGCCGCCCGCCCGGCTTGGGCAGCGACACGCGCACGGCCGCTGGGGGGAGACAACGGCGCGCGCCGTCCACACCGGGCGCCGGGCTGCGGGGGCGCCGCGCTCGGAGCCAGGCAGACGCGGAACGAGGAAGCGAAGTAGGGAGACAAGGGACGTGTGTGGCGCGCACTCGGGGTCTCGGAGGCCCCCAGTCCTTGTGCCCCGGGATCCAGGCTCGGCCGCCGGCCCGGGACCTCCGACCTCGCTTCCCCTGTTTCGAACAATCCCCAGGGGAAGGGGACGTCGGGGAAAGGATGGAAAGCAACCTGTTTACTGATTCCCTCGTCCCAGATGGAGCCTGGGGTCCCACACGGCAATCCGGGACCCGGGTCTGCGGAACCAGCACTTTCCCAAAGACCGATCAAAGAATCAGAGCCTGCGAAGCAGGACTCGGGAAGCGTGCGCGCCGCAACCCCCTGAAGAATAGCACTCACGCCCGCCCCCACCTCGAGTCAGGACTTCAGATGACCGTTTCACGAGTTGACCCCTGCGTCCCGCCCCGGCTCCTCTCCTCCCCGCCACGCCAAAGGGGCCCTGCGTTCCGAAAGGGGAAGGAAGGGACCTCTGAACACTGGCTTTTGAGTCCGACGCATGGCACCCACGGGTGCTCGGGGCGGGCCCCGGACTCCAGTACCCGCGGGTGACCTCGGGCCCGGCAGCGGAAAGGGTGGGAAGCCTTCCTCAACTTGGACGCTTTCACCCCTCCCCTCTCTTTCTGCCTTGCACCCATTGAAAAGTATTTTTATCTGGTGAAATTCCAAGCAAAACGCCCCTGAAGCTGGACCAACCAGAGGAGCCGAGAAGGCAATTTTGCAGCGATCGCGCTGCCGCGCGGGCCGGGTCTGGTGTGCGAGGCCCAGCTGCTCAGCGGGGAACCGGGTGGGGCTGTGATGAGCGCCGCTGTGTCGGAGGCGTGAGTGTGCCTAGTCGCTCCGTCGTGCCCAACTCTTGCGACCCCCACAGACTGTAGCCTGCCAGGCTCCTCTGCCCATGGGATTCTCCAGGCAAGAATACTGGAGTGGGTTGCCATTTCCGGCTCCAGGGGATCTTCCCGACCCAGGGATCGAACCCAGGTCTCCTGCATTGCTGCAGGCTGTCTCTTTACCGACTGAGCTGTGAAAGTAGGAGGAATGCCCCCAAAACCTAGATGGCTCAGGGCTGACTCCAGACTTCGCCGCTGTTTCTGGTTTGGCTTTCATCTGACTTGAGGACCCTCTAAATTCATCCGCCCCGCGTGTTCATTCTGATGTCATCGTGAGGGTTGTTTCTAAATGTCTGTACCATTTTCACTTTGTCCAAATTGTTAAAAATTTTCACCGTGAAAAATAACTTTTCAGACCACCGTGGAAATAAGTACAGACCGGATGGTTTGCGGTTTGCTTCTCTGGGGTTGTCTCCCAGCAGAGCAGGGTGCTGGCTCGTCCTCGCTGGTTTGTGGCAAATGCACGCACCCTGGATCGAGGACGAGATACAAAGGTGAGTCTCTGTGAAGGGTGTTTTTCCAGTGGGTGGGACTGGGCAGAATTTCTGCCCAGGCAAGACCAGTGGCTGATGACCAAGTCTCGGCTGTAACTGACTGCGATGTAGTTGTCCGGGTCTCCTGGGAATTTTTGTGACCTCCATTCTATCCAGCTCTGATTTTTAAAGAGAAGTGGGGTAGGAAGATGACAGGTCTTTCTGTAAATATGCTGAGTGCATTTAACCCGTGGGAAGATGGAATGTTAGAAGATCCGGAGGTGATGCTGGTGGGGACAGGCAAGCATTACATGTTTTATCATTTTATGGCCGGAGAAGCCATCTTAAGTTTTATCTGACCCATTTTACTGATGAAGAAGCTGTTTCAAAGAAGCTCAGCAGCTGGCCCAGCTCAGCCTGGTGCTGGGACTTACACCCTGACCCCGAGTCCTGTGCTGGGGTTGACCAGCTGCCCCAGATGGTACCTTGAACTACAGGATTTCTGCTTGGGTTGAGTATCAGTCCTGTTCTGGAGCTGGAGGTGAGAAAGTCTCTGTGGATGTGACTGTCATCCCCACAGACTAGGAGGCCTCAGAGAAATGTTTCTTACCTGAAGCAGGGGCGTCATGCTATGTGGTTTGGGAATGGTTTAACTGAAATCCCAGGCAGCTGTCTGTAAGGTCTTTATTTCTGGTTGGGAAGATTACTAGAGTGATCATATAATTTATTCTCTGAATGCACCTTTTTTTTTTTTTAAGTGAAGGTGAAGTTGCTCAGTCATGTCCAACTCTGTGACCCTATGGACTGTAGCCCACCAGGTTCCTCCATCCATGGGATTTCCCAGGCAAGAGTACGGGAGTGGGTTGCCATTTCCTTCTCCAGGAGATCTTCCCTACCCTGGGATTGAACCCGGGTCTCCCAAAAGTGTCTGAGCCAACTGGGGCCTCATTTAATACTGATGCTGAAGCAAGAGGCCAAAGCAGGACTGACCGACAGGTGAGACTGTCGTCATCTTACCTATTATATCCAAGCCACTGGAGAGAATAGTATGGAGCAATAACCTTATAGCTATGAAGATTATATAGCAAAATGAAAATATTTATGATGAACTTAATAATTTCAAGTAAGAAAGCAAAGTGAAACGTTATATCCACACTGTAGCTACAGCTACATANCAAAGTGAAACGTTATATCCACACTGTAGCTACAGCTACATAAAGCTATGTGTAGGAAGAAAGACTGAAGGAGGAAAATTGGAATGGTAACAATTATTACCTTACTACAGGTAGGTATTCTCACCTTACTCTCCCCTCAACCCACCAGTCAGTGGACCCAGAGACTTGCTTCAGTGACTGCATGGTAAAGGCAGCAATGGGAAGAAGGACCCTTTCCTTCTTATCCCAGGAGATTCTAGAAAGTTCTATGTTAGAAGAATGACTGGGTAACTACCCAGCCTAGCAGTGTATAGAGGTTACACTTTGTTGTTAAAATTTTTCTTGTTTATTTGATTTTCCAACACTCTGAAAAGGAATATGTTGCAGTTGCAATAAAAAAAAGTTAGCAAGTTTTTAAAGATTACCTTATTAGAGATTAAGTTTACACCATTAGGGCAGTTGAATTGTGAGCATTTAGCAAAAGAAAATAATCTCTAAGGACAACTGCGGGTCCCAAGTTCCTTCTCCCTTTGCAAGCAGTGATGGGATGGGGATCTCTGCAGAGAGAGCCAAGGCCAGTCTGCCTAGAAGGGAAGAAAGGTAGGGAGGAAGGGAAGCTGCTTATCACAGTCGCCATCTGTCATCTGGGAACTGCGTTGTACCTGCTGATGACACTTTCATGAGCATTTGAATCCGTGGTGTCGGGGCCAGCTCTCTCTAGTGGCGGTTTTTATAAAGAGATGCAGAACTGGGTTTGGCCATTTATTTTGTTGTCTCAGAGGACTGTATTGAGTATTTCCAGCTGTTCCTCTTTCTTTTGGAGTCTAGTCTCAAAAAGGCATCAACCACACCAGCTCAAAATGCCAGCCCCAGAGTCATGGACATTGTTTATTCCCTTGAATGGAGGTGTTGAGATCATGACCAAAATTCAAAAACATTTTTCTGCTAAAAGAATTCACTGCAAGGCAACATAGTGTTGATCTGTGATGTCACTAGTCACATGACCTGTGATGGCCTTCGTTTTCCCACCAATCATCAAAGCGAACACTTACATGGCAATTCATATCTCATGTCATCCCAAGCACTATGTGATCTGAATCTTAATTCACTTAATCTTCAGTTCAGTTCAGTCTCTCAGTCATGTCCGACTGTTTGCGACCACATGGACTGCAGCATGCCAGGCCTCCCTGTCCATCACTAACTCCTGGAGCTTACTCAAACTCATGTCCATTAAGTTGGTGATACAATCCAACCATCTCATCCTCTGTTGTCCCTTTCTTCTCCCACCTTCAATCTTTCCCAGCATCAGAGTCTTTTCCTATAAGTCAGTTCTTTGCACCAGGTGCCAAAGTATTGGAGTTTCATCTTCAGCATCAGTCCTTCAAATGACTATTAAGGACTGATCTCCTTTAGGATGGATAGTTGGATCTCCTTGCAGTCCAAGGGACTCTCAAGAGTCTTCTCTAACACCACAGCTCAAAAGCATCAATTCTTCGGTGCTCAACTTTCTTTATAGTCCAACTCTCACATCCATACATGACTACTGGAAAAACCACAGCTTTGACTAGATGGACCTTTGTTGGCAAAGTAATGTTTCTGCTTTTTAATATACTGTCTAGCTTGGTCATAACTTTTCTTCCAAGGAGTAAGCGTCTTTTAATTTCGTGGCTGTAGTCACCATCTGCAGTGATTTTGGAGCCCAACAAAGTAAAGTCACTCACTATTTCCATTGTTTTCCCATCTGTTTGCCATGAAGTGATGGGACCTAACACCTCTTTAGTAGGCAGCATGTTTAGCCTTACTTTACAGAGAAATTAAGTACCTGGTCCAAAATGACACAGTGAATGGTCAGTGAAGCCAAGATTCAAACCTGGACAGATGGTGCCGCACC